TCACAATATTCTCAGAGTATGGGCAGAGAAAAAGAGGAAGAATCCTCCCTTTCCGTGTTTCCTCTACATCCCAAAAGGTACTCTGTATTTGTTTCTAGCCTATTCAGTCCAAGAACTCTTGATAGGTTCCTCCACGAGTTGGAGTAATCTGACACAAGAACAAGTTAGTGGAAACTCACTTTTCTGCAATAGGAAGTATTAGGAATGTTAGCATTTTCATGTGTGTGCCTCTTCCCAGAAAAGTGCATGCATAGACACAGATGGCAGTATTAAAATGTTAGGCCGTTTTTTTGTGGGGAAAGCATTACACTAATAAAAGAAAAGCAGGAAACTTAATTCAGGTAACCCCCTTTTTTTAGTCTGTATCTAATATGTGCCCACTAGCTCCCCTGTCTACTTAAGCCTATCTTACAGAGATGTTGAGGCTAAATAGATGTGGAGCATTTATGCTGCAGGTAGGACTTCAGTCTTCCTGTATTGCGCGTGTTCCAGATAAAGTCCTCTTTGTGCCTAGATAGCTGTGTTCATTAGTAAGTAAATAATTATTTTATTATAAGAGAAAGCAATGGTAGTATAAGAATACAGATCAATCCATTTGTAGAAGTGTTTTATTTTGTTCAAATGAATCAGTTCAAAGTATAAATACTGGCGTGTGTTCCTGTTCTTCAGAAAAAGATCCTTATAGCTTTGGGAGGACTACTATAGCCAACTTACATACTGGGTAAGTAATAATAGAAAAGTTGCATTTTTATTATATATAGTATTCCTATGTTCCTCAGTGAATTTTATAACTGAATCCCATCCTTTGTTATAGTATATACATTAAGACATAGCGTGGCCCAAATTCTGGAATAAAATTATTAATGAAAATACAAAATCACAAAAATAAAACTTGCTAATACAATGGATACTATTCTATTAAATTATTGGCCCACTTTAAAATTAACCAAGCAACAATCAGAATTATTAGTGTTGATGCTATATGCAGCAAAAACTTTGATAGCGCAAAAATGGAATAAGAGAGGAGTTCCGAATGTTTCCCAATGGTATGCTAAATTATGGAATGTTATTATAGCTGATAAAATAGATATACAATTAAAAATGGCCTATGGAATGATAACGGATAACAACTTTGTAGAGAAATGGTTTATTTTTTTTGATTATGTAACATCTAACAGTAAGGTACAACATACATTACCAAACAAATTCGAAGACATTATGAGATTTTGATTGTTAAATATATGTAAAAGTGTTTGGAAGTATTTAACATGTAAGAGTTATATTTTTTGTAAGTAGTAATGATGGTTTCTTGTTTTATTGTTGAAAATTTAATAAAAATAAATTTGAAAAAAAAAAAGACATAGCGTGGCAGGCAGGCACAGGGAAACAAGGGAGGCTACACAAAAGGAAACTTAACACTGGGAGTTTGTTATCGCCCACCAGATCAAAAGAGAGAGGAGGATTATAAAATGATGAATGAATTAAAGATAGCGGCTAGACGAAATAACTGTGTCGTAATAAGGGTCAATATGTGTTCAAGTCGGGAAAAAGAGATTGAGTTTCTAGACTCTCAGTAACTGTGCTGTGGAACAGAGGGTCACGGAACCTACCAGGGGAGAGGCGATCCTGGATTTGATCCTAAGTAACACCCAAGACCTGGTGAGAGATTTAAAAGTGATTGCACTGCTTGGGAACAGTGACCATAATGTTATTGAGTTCAGCATTTGTATAAATAGGAAGTTGCCCCAAAAGACTGACACAACCACTTTTAATTTTAAAAGGGGTAACTTCTCTGATTTGAGGGGACATCTGAGGAAGAAACTGAAAGGAAAAGTAGAAAGGATCAAAACCCTTGGGGAAGCTTGGAGACTATTTATTTATTTAGTTATTGTATTTATACCCCGCCCTCCCCGCAAACGGGCTCAGGGCGGCTTACAGTAGTCAGTACAATGTACCTAATTTGCATAAAACATTTAGCATAAAACATTTAACATAAAAACATTTAAAACATTTAAAACTACAATCCTTGAAGCACAGAAAAATATATACCACAGGTTAGGAAAGGCACAAATAGGTACAGAAAAAGGCCTGATTGGTTAACAAACAAAGTAATGGAAGCTGTAAAAGGTAAGAAGGATTCCGTAAAGTGATGGAAAGCTAGTCTCAGTGAGGTTGATAAAAGGGAACACAGGCTGTGGCAAATAAAATGCAAGTCTGTGATCAGGCAGGCAAAAAAGGAATATGAGGAACATATACCAAAAAACATAAAGACCAGCAATAAAACTTTCTTCAAATACATTAGAAGCAGGAAACCAGCCAGGGAGGCAGTGGGGCCCTTGGATGACCAAGGGGTAAAAGGAGTACTGAAGGATGATAGGGAAATGGCTGAGAAGCTAAATGCATTTTTTGCCTCCGTCTTCACTGTGGAAGATGAGAGGTGCTTGCCCACTCCAGAGCCGCTGAGTTCGGGAGGGGTGTTGAAAGACCTGAGTCAGATTGAGGTGACGAGAGAGGAGGTCCTACGACTGATAGACAACTTAAAAACTAATAAATCACCAGGCCCGGATGGCATACATCCGAGAGTTCTGAAAGAACTCAAATGTGAACTTGTGGATCTCCTAACAAAAATATAAAATCTTTCCTTAAAATCTGCCTCCATTCTTGAGGACTGGAAGGTAGCTAATGTTGATACCGGGTAAGTTGGTGGAAACTGTTATTAAGGAAAGAATTAGTAGGCACGTTGATGAACAAAACATATTGAGGCAGACTCAGCATGGGTTCTGTAAGGGAAGATCTTGTCTGACTAACCTGTTAGTGTTCTTTGAGGGAGTGAACAAACCTTGACTTCCAGAAAGCTTTTGATAAAGTTCTTCATCAAAGGCTCCTAAGTAAGCTCAATAGTAACGGGATAAAAGGACAAGTCCTTTTATGGATCAAAAACTGGCTAATTAATAGGAAACAGAGAGTGGACGGCGCAGCGATGGGCGGCTCCCAGGGCTCTCTCGGGCCGCCCGATTCCCTTTCGCTCTTTTTGGAGCCCCCCATTCGGGATGGGCTTCATCGGCTCTCCCGGAGAGAGGGCCGGTGCAAGAGGCTTGTTTTGGCTCCCCCTGCACTCGGCAAATGCCGGGAGAAGACCATTACCGCCCCAAAACAAGAGTGTTTGACTGGAACGTAGCATGGACGCCATGTCTACGATTAGCTGTGACCTCCGTTTTAAATCACCCTTTTGGATTAAAAGATACAGCAACACAGCACCATAGGGAAAAAATCTAGGAAAAGAACTGTGAGTGCATATAGTTTCAAGCTTTATGAAGAGAAGACGGCCAGGGAAAGACCCCGGTAATTGTTTTCCCAAAATTGAGAAGAATAGCGGCCAGAGAGCGAGTGGGAGTGAATTATGTGATCTTTGTTTATTTTTGCTTCCGGGGAAACCTCGAATTTTAAACAGTGACAAGGATTTATAGTGGACATTGGGTAGATGAATTATCATGTTCTAATGGAATTACTTTTAGAATTTAAATGAATTAACTTGAATTTAGTAACAAAAATGGCGTCCACAATAAGGAAGGAGGAGGAGGAAGAACCTAATGAAAATACTCTGCTGGGAGAGATATCTGTTGATCAATTTTTGAAAATCCTGAGAGAAGGAATAAAGAAGGGCTGTGAGGAAGCGTGTGCAACTTTACTACAAAAAGCACACAACCCTCAATTGGAAACAGAAAATAAAGAAAAGCTAGGACAAGGAATCTAGAATGTTGTGGAGAACCTGGATTATCAGGATGAGAAAGCAGGTGTTGAGATTTTAACCACACCAACCCCAATTTTGGGAAAGAAAAGGACAAAATGGATGTATTTAAAGATAGGGACATCAAAAACGAAGGTGCAAAGAGTACCCTCCAAAAGAAAAGACAATTGTAAAAGGAATAGGAAAAAGCAACGTGCGTGGAAATTTAAAGTGGACAGTCCAATATGTGGACATGATTGTTTGAGAGATCAAAGGGGAAATTTGGAGATAAATTGCCATGCCTGCAAAGAAAAAAGGCATATAGACATGCTGTTAAAAAAAAAACAAATTGTAGATCTACAGGAGGAAAATTAAGTTATATGGAAGGGATGAAATGTTTTTCTTTGTTTGATAGGTTTTGCTGGAATGAATTGACCCTGAAAAGACTGTAATGATTTATGTTTATTTTAAGGTTTATAATGCCGAGTGTGTGTAGGTTTCAGTTAGAAGGTGGTGGTTATAGCAGGGTGTTTTAGACTCAGCCGGGACGAATTGGTACTGAAAGGATTGTTATGATTTATGATTAATTTGCTGGAATGAATTGACTCTGAAAAGATTGTTATGATTTATGATTAGTTCAAAGTTTATAATGTTAAGTGTGTGTAGGTTTTAGTTAGAAGGTGGTGGTTATAACAGGGTGTTTTAGATTCAGCCGGAATGAATTGGCACTGAAAGGATTCGTATGATTTATGATTAATTCAAAGTTTATAGTGCTAGGGGTGTGTAGGTTTCAATTAGAAGGTGGTGGTTATAGTAGGGTTGTTTAATTATCTTGGAAATTAAAATTTTAGTTCTTTATGACTGAGTTGTAGTAAATGTTAATAATAAAATAAGTGAAGTAAAAAATAACTCAATACCAACTAACTGAGGATGCTTATAAAACCAGGTAGGGCCAACGTATTTAAAGAAATGGGATATGGATGACAAATAATAGTCTTAGAATTTTGCAGTTAAATCGTAGTATTTTTTTCAGTGACAGTCATAAAGGGTTCTTTTGGTGGAATTAGTATCTGGCAGTAGGGATTAAAATGTATAAAAGAAAAGTTAATAGAGAACAGTTGCAATTTGGACGCTATAATAGTTCTAGCAATAAGTTACGACTAGAATGTTGTAAAATAGTTCCATTAAGATGGTAACTCAAACTTGAATATTATTTGGGTGAATTATTATCTGGCAGTAGGGATTAAAATGTATAAAAGAAAAGTTAATAGAGAACAGTTGCAATTTGGACGCTATAATGGTTCTAGCTATAAGTTAAGACTACAATGTAGTAAAATGGCTTCATTAAGATGGTAACAAACTTGAATATTATTGAGGCTAACAATGAAAATTTAATAAGATAAAAAACTAAAATTTTGGAAATTTATAATCCACATATATATATAT